ATTATTTATTTTTTTTATTTCTTACTAATTATTATTTATTATTATTTACTACTACTAATATTATTATTATTATTATTATATCTACTATTATTATTATTATTATTATTTATTATTTATTACTATTTATTATTATTTATTACTATTTATTATTATTTATTACTATTTATTATTACTTATTATTATTTATTATTATTTATTACTATTTATTACTATTTATTACTATTTGTTATTATTTATTATTTTTTATTATTATTTATTATTATTTATTTTTACTTATTATTACTTATTTTTTATTATTGTTTATTATTATTTGTTCTTATCTATTACTATTTATTATTCTTTACTACAATTTATCATTACCTATTATTATTTATTATTATTTATTATTATTTATTATTATTTATTATTATTTATTATTATTTATTATTACTTATTATTAGTTTTTATTATTTACTATTATTTGTTATTATTTATTATTATTTATTATTATTTATTATTGATTATTATTATTTATTATTATTGATTATTATTTATTATTACTTATTACTTATTATTTATTATTACTTATTATTTACTATTATTTATTATTATTTATTATTATTTATTATTATTTATTATTATAGATTAAGCATATTACTGTTACTACAGTTATTATTATCTTTTTATATTATAATAATTATTTTTAGTTTTATTTTTATAATAATATTATTTATATTTATTTTTATTATTATTATTTATATTTATTTATTATTATTATATACTATTACCATTACTATTTATTTATTTTTTATTACTATTATTATTAGTATCATTATATTATTATTATTTTATTACTATCTTCTTATTATGTTATTATTATATTATTATTATTATTACTTATATTTATTATTATTATTACTTTTATTTATTATAGTTATTCATACTTACTATTAGATTAAAATATTTTATATTTTTATATACTACTAATTATTATTTTTAGTTTTATTTTATTTTTATTACTATTACTATTTATTTTTATTATTACTATTATTATTACTATTTATTATTCTTATTTTTATTTATTATTATTTTTATTTATTATTATTTTTATTTATTATTTTTATAATCATTTAATATTACTATTATTTATTATTATAATCTGTACACTTATTATTTATTATAATTATTGTTTATTATTATAATAATATTATTACTTTTATTATTTACTATTACTATTATTATTATTATTATATTTATTATTATTTATTATTATTATAATTTATTATTTTTATTATATAAAAATAAAATAATAAAAATTATTACTATTTATTGTTATTGCTACTAATTACTATTATTTATTATTAATATTATTTATTATATTTACTCTTTACTATTAATATTATTTATTTATTATTATTACTTACAAATATTACTATTATTATTATTTATTATTATTTATTATTTTTTTTATTTATCATTATTATTATTTTTTATTATTATTATTTATTAATATTACTATTATTTGTTTTTATTATTTATTATTTATTATTATTTAATATTATTACTACTAAACCTTATTACTATTTATTATTATTACTATTTCACTATTACTATTATTTTTTTATATTTTTTGTATTGTTATTATTATTTATTTTTATTATTATTATTATTATTACTACAATTATTTATTATTACTACTATCATAATTTATTTTTATTATTATTACTACTACTATATTTACTATTACTATTATAATTATTTATTTTTATTTTTATTACTATTACTAAATTTATTATTATTATTATTATTATTTATTTTTATTATTATTACTATTAGTATTGTTATTTATTATTACTATTATTATTTTATTATTATTACTACTATAAAAAATATTTATTATTTTATTATTTATAATCATTATTTATTATTACTATCATCACAATTTAATATTATTTTTTTTATGTATAATTACTATTTAATATTACTACTATTTATTATTTTTATTTACTTTTATTATTTATTTATTTTTATTTATTTTTTTATATTTTTTTTAATTTATTAATTAAAAAATCCTCGCCTGAAGGGTAGTGTATCTTCTGGGGGTTTAGGGTTTAGTATTATTATTACTTTTATTTTTATTATTTTTATTATTTTTATTTTTTTTATTTTTTTTATTTTTATATATTATTATCTTAGTATTACTATTATAATCATTTTATATTCTTATTATTATTTCTTTTACTTTTATAATTATTATATAATATTATTATCATTATAAATAAAAAGGATTACTACTATCATATACTATTATATATATATATATATATATATATATATATATATATATATATATAATATATGATTATATATTATTAGTACTATTATTATTTACTAGTAATAGTTTTTATTTCTATTATATAATATCACTATTATTATTATTATTACTAATAATAATAATTATTTTTATATATTATTATTATAATAATAATTACTATTATATACTATTACTATCATTACTACTAATAATAATTATTATTACTACATAATAATATTATTATTAATTAATATTTTTATAATTATTATTATAATTAAAATTTATAAAAAAGAGAATATAAAGGGTATCGTGTTGCTGTTATTTATTATAATAAAAATTATTATTAATATTATATATATTATTATTATTATTATTATTTATAATATTTTTATTATATTTTTTATTTATATTAGTATAATTATAATTATAATAATTTTAATTAATATAAGACAGAGTACAGCAGATGAAGGGTGTAGTATTTTACTATTACTATTATTTATAAATATAAATATAAATATAAATAAAAATATAAGTATAAATATAAATATAAATATAAATATAAAATATAAATATAAATATAAATATAAATAAAAATATAAATATAAATATAAATATAATTATTATTTATATTATAACTATTAAAAAAACAAGAGTAAAACTAAACAAATAATATATAAAATAAATACATTTCGTTGTAGTTTGGGTTTGCTTATTATAATTATTTTTTATTACTACTTATATTTATATAATTTTTATTTATTTATTTATTTATTTATTTATTTATATTTATAATTATAATTAAACTAATAATTATATAAATAAATAAAAATAAAAAAAAATTAATAAACAATAAATACATAAAAGGTGGAGTATCCTGCTGTAGCTTGGGCTCTGTATATATATTTTTTGTTTTTTCTGTTTGTATATATATAAACAAATAAATATAATAATAATAAATAAATAATAATAAAATAAAAATAAAAATAAAAATAGTAAATTAATAAAATAATAAATACCTGAATGGGGCCGATGCATCCTGC